GATGTCGTTTTTCGATTTTCCTTTAACGCTTTCGTGGAGCGGCCGTTCGAGTGTGTATTCCTGTCAAAAAGAATTTCGATTTTCCTTTGATGCTTTCGTGGAGCGGCCGTTTAAGTGTGTACTTCTGTCAAAAAGAACTTCGATTTTCCTTTGGTGCTTTTGTGGGGCTGCCGTTTTTTTAAATAATACATGTGTAATGCCGCGTTTTTTTAATCATCAGTAACGCGTTTAGTTCATTACTGCATTGTAATTAATGTAACAGTTATTAATGGAACAGTATTATTATGATTAGAAAATATACTATATATAATTCGATAATGAGATCGCGTCATCTTATCATTAATCGTACACATTTCTTTTCTTCTCCCCACGTTTTTATTTTATCCTAATGGGCCGACGTTGCAAACATAATCATTTTTTGATACAATGTGCAAATTATAATGAAAGTCTTCTCACTTAGCGTGCAATGTATAAAAGATAATCTAAAGAAACTGTTTAAAATTGCTAACTACTATAAAAATAAATTTACTATAAATTTTAACTACTGTATGTTATGTACGTCTTTTCATTTATTTTTACGAATATTTCGTTAAGCGGCCATTCTCGAGATGTAATTATCACGCTGTAATTCCGTATTGCTTCAGTACTGTTTGCGAATGTACCACAGCACAATGCCAATGTACTACAGCACTTAGCCAGTACCGCGCCAGTAGTATTTCCAGTACTGCCCCAATATCCGAATTATGGCAACCAGTAGTGGTACGGTACTGGGCCAGTACTGGTCCGGTAACCACGGATCTACAATAGGGTTTTAAGCCTTAAGCCATAAGAAATGGGCGAATCACAGTCGCTTATTCTTCTCGGATTCAACTGTAATTGGTCAGTTTCTTACGGCATAAGGCATAAAACACCTATTGTAGATCCGGACTAATGGAGACCTAGAGCTGTGCGCCGCCGCGCCACGCCGCCGCCGCCGGTGGAACTAGATACGCCGCCGCCGCCGAACATTTTGATAGTTATGTCGCGGTGTGCGAATCGTGCCGGCAATAATCATTTTATTTAGCAAACATGCACCCTTTAAAAATATTTTAGACATCTGGAGAAATAGGAAACATGATGCCTACGTTATATAAAGTGGCAAAAAAAGTATTATGTATTCCTGATGCAACATCAATGCCGAGTGAACAGGTATTTTCCATTGCTGGCTTGTTAATAAACAACAAAAAGGTTAAGCGTATGTCCAAATACAGTTAACAAAGTGATATTTATTCAAGATAACTACGAACTATGTAAACAAATACTATGCGATGCCGATAGCCGATATGTAAACTCCATCTGTATTTCCTACATAGCTACATTCTTTATGGAAAAAGACACTGAAAATTTCGAAAAAACACTGAAAATTAGGTGTTAACACTCAAAGCTGCCCCCAATGGGGACCTGTACTGGACCGGTAATGGCGACCAGTACTGGCGCAGTATCGCCAGTCAGTACTGGGCCGAAATTATCATCCAGCATTTAGCCAGTACCGCGCCGCGCTCTAAAGTTCGTTGCCCGATCGTCAAATAATTAGGTGCTCGCATGATTTTAGTATTAAAATAATCCTTAGACATCGTAGTATCGAAATATTGGGTGGATCCATATATACGTTCGGTGTTTGTTAGTAGTGCAAATTTTTTCCGAATATCTCCGGTTCTGGTTGCCTAATCGGGCAATCCAAATATGTTTTGGAAAGGTGACAGTCCGCTCTTTTCATCTGTCAAATTTGGTATTAGTTTTGTTTGTGCTACAGGCCTGTGAACATGTCGGAGAATAAGGTGCATTTTCGGCACATTTTGCTTTATTACTTCAAGAAAGGCAAGCGAGCTGCGGAGGCCCACCGAAAGATATGCGGCGTATACAGGGACGATGCCTTAACAGAACGTGCCGCTCAGAAATGGTTTGCCAAATTTCGTTCCGGAGATACGAGTCTTAAAGATGGACCCCGCAGCGGTCGGCCCACAGAGGTTGATTCGAATGATATCGAGGCACTGGTTGAGCAAGACCGGACGCTAAAGGTGCGAGAGATTGCGGAGACACTTAAAATAAGTTATGGAACCGTACAAAGGCATTTGCAACAGCTTGGCTACGTGTCCCGCCTCGATGTTTGCCGCACAAGCTGACCGAGGAGAACCTGGCCAACCGCATATCCATCTGCAATTCACTTCTGAAGCGGCACGAAAGCGACCCGTTTCTCAAACGAATAGTGACCGTCGACGAAAAGTGGATCATTTACGACAACATAGTGCGCAAGAGTGGGGAACCGCTGGCGAGCCGCCGAACGCTACCCCGAAGGCCGGCCTGCATCCGAAGAAGATTTTGCTATCCATATGGTGGGATCATCGTGGTGTGCTGTTTTACGAGCTGCTTCCTCAGGGAAAAACGATCGATTCGAAGGTCTACTGCACGCAGCTAACGAAATTGAATCAAGCATTGCGACAGAAACGTCCAGAACTGGTCAATCGCAAAGGTGTCATATTTCACCATGACAACGCCAGACCCCACACCGCAATAATCACTCAGCAAAAATTAATGCAACTTGGCTGGGATGTTTTGCCCCACCCACCGTATTCACCAGACCTTGCGCCATCCGACTACCACGGGGTAATCCCGATTGACCACGTCTCGATTGGACACCACCAATCACAGCGACCGGTGCTTAGGAGCTTTGTAGTCTCAAGCGCTGTGAGTGGCTCGTGTTCAATTGAACCGTGTCCAACTGGGTGCCACCCGACTACCACTTGTTCCGGTCCCTGCAAACTCCCTCAACGGGAAATCGTTCGCTGATCAGACAGCTGTGAAAACGTACCTCGACCGGTTTTTCGCCTCTAAGCACCAGACCTTCTATGAGAGCGAAATAATGAAATTGTTGGAAAGATGGTAAGAGGTCATCAACAAAAATGGAGAATATATCATTGATTGAAATTAATCTTTTGTATGAAAAAAACTTGTTTCATTTTAGCCTTCAAAAACCGAACGAATATATGGATCCATCCAATATATACATATCTGAATCTAGTGCTCACTCTAAGTCAGTGAAAATAACTAATACGTCGCGGAAGAGCGCGCACCGCGCTGTCGCAGCGCGTAAAAAGAATCCTTTGATTATCTATAGCGGCGACGCGCTGCGCGGCAGTCCTTTGACAAACATCTCAACGATCGCAGCCAAACACTTAAAAAAAATTTCCATTCGATAGATGAATCCATGAGTTTTTATATTATACATAGCCACAAATGTAAATACGATTACAAAAAGCATCACGCGTTAATAATACTATTATCGACTTTTCCTGTCTCATCGAAAATAAGGTGAAGGGGGATTCCACACACAAAAGTCAATCAACGCAGCGTACAACAAACACGGATGTGATTCAATGGCTTGCAAAGAGCACAAAATGGGAAATGTATATATTTTGATAATACGATGTCTAAGGAGTGTTTTAATACCAATATCATGCGAGCACCTAATTATTTGACGATCGGGTAACGAACTTTAGAGCGCGGCGCGCGCTCTTCCGCGACGTATTAATGATTTTCACTGACTTAGAGTGAGCACTAAATTCAGATATGTACTTTTTTTGATACTACAATATCTAAGGATTATTTTGACACTAAAATCATGCGAGCACCTAATTCTTTGACGATCGGGTAATGTACTTTAGAGCGCAACGCGCTCTAATATTTGAATTAACGCTATATTCGAATTAACGCTATATTAAAATTTTTTTTTACTCTATTTTGGAGCACTAAATTAGCACTAAATTCCCTGTGTGCTTACTTTTTGTATATGTGCATTGTATATATTTTTTTTATTGTGTGTCTATTAAACTGGAACCTCCATTTTTTTTACTGCTAAACGGTTTGAGCACTAAATTTCGTAATAGGGTACTAAGTTAGCACTTAATTAGCACTAAATTTTTGACCTATTCCGAACTTGATTTTCGATAATATATGTTGAAATATTTTAATTGACACTATATTTTAATTTTTTTTTGTTCTATTTTGGAGTACTAAATTAGCACTAAACTTCCTGTGTACTTATTTTTTGTATACGTGCATTGTATATATTTTTTTTATGGGGGCTTATCATTAAGCTGGACCCCCTCTTTTTTTTTTAATTACTACTAAACGGTTTGAGCACTAAATTTCGGAATAGGGTACTAAATTAGCACCTAATTAGCATTAAATTTTTGACCTATTGCGAACTTGATTTTCGACGGTGGTGGGTCCAAGTTAATAGGGGTACAATGTAGAGGAAGGTCACTGATACCGACATATCACTTTGTTTTTAGATAATATTTCTTAAACAAAAGATAAAAATACAACTTCAAAAACATAAATATAAAGTAAAGAGTGTCTTCTATGAGATAGTATAAGCAATTTTTATAATACTGTTTGCAATCTTGCAATAATTAAATTTTTCGTAAGTTATGCAAAAATGAGCGTCTGACAAAGTGGGCTCCAAAACTGACACAGTAGGCAATAATACCAACATTCCTATTCTATAAATAAACATATATCCTATTCTGTAAAGAAAACTAATTTATGAAGCTATAAACATTTAAAATGACATAATTTTATCAATAATACAGTCACTATTATTTTAATTACGCAATTTGCAAAAGAACACCGTAAAAATTTTCTTCTCGGATTCATAGAATTAGTTTTTAGCTGATTTAAGCCACAAATATATGAATTATGAGTTTGTACTTCTTTAATTAGCTAAACAGATTTTATTAGTATTAATAAAGTGCAATAGTTAGTTTCTAAGAAACAAGGAGGTGTCACTTTAGGAGACCTATGTCAGTATCAGCGACTTTCCTTTACTTATCTAAGAAACATCCAGATAGTAATAAATCATACACACAATTAATATTAAACATATTCGAAGCTCGAACGATTAGCTAATGTGATGTAATTAATACACAAACTTCCATAGGAGTTTTCTAATTATTAATAGTATGATATTGGTACAGTTATTGATGCAATTTTATATGCAAAATCGTAATATCTCAATTCAATTGTATTTCTAAATTTTTATTAAATAAAGAAGACTATTAGAAACACTTCTAAAAGGTCATCGTTGTAAGAGAGAGAGAGAACTTATTATAGTATATTAAAATTAAATTTCAAGACCGAAAAATTTTTCGGCACGCGTTTCTGTGGGATTACATACGTAGTATATAAATTCACATAAGAATCACACAAGCATTAAGATCCAGCATTAGACCGTTTAAGGCTTTGATTTCTATAGTTTGTATTAAAATTAAATTGTCCAAAAGACAACATTGAGTGACAATTCCTATTTTATTATTTAATAATCGCGATCCTTCTTTCAGCCCGAACACTTGTGTTCGCCGACGTGGGTATTAAACTTTCAGAAGGGTAACAGTTTCGAATGCGCGACGCTTTTGGTAAGCTTACTGCTGGGACAGGGTTACAATGCATTCGTGGTGAGTGGATATGCATCGCGCGAGCAAGTGCTCTGTGACATGACCAGAAGAACTTGCCCGTATTTGCCGAAAATTGAGCAAGTATCACCACCGGTAGAAAAACCTAAAATCGTCAAGTATCAGTTAAAGCCACCGCCTGATTTCAGGAGTCAATTTCTCTTAGAGTTGGAAGCTCGCGAGAAAGCAAAAGCGGAGGCAGAATTACAACGACAAGAAGAAGAGCGTCAGAGGATGATCACGGTATGTGTATAAAAGTTCTGTTTCATTTCCGATGTTATTTAATATATTTGTAATAATATATAAAGTCAAAGACTACAAATAAAATAAATCATCACAATAAAAACGTTCATAAAAGCTAACACTAGATGGAAATTGTATAAAAGAATATGTATTTAATTTTAACATACAAGATATTTTTTTACATAATTTCCATTCAAGCTTTCATAGGCTTTTTTATTGTGATGATTTATATTTGTAATAGTTTTGTAATGGATATATAACAATCGAAATTAGAAAGGATATGTAAAAGTTAAATAATTAAATAAAATTCAATATGGTAATTGAAATATATACTATTATATATTATAATAAATATAATATATTAAATTATTATTGAATTTTATTTAATTATTTGACTCTTACATGGCCTTTCTAATTCAATTGTTTTTGTTCATTAAGAAGTCTTTGTTCTTGTTTAATTTAGTTTTTGTTTAATTTATTTTTGTTTAATTTGGATATAATAATATATCTTATTATTCAATGATGATGTGTAATAAGAATTTAAGAGATTTTTTCGAAGATACATTAAGACTAAAATTTAAAAAATTTCTTCCTTCTCTTTGTAAAGCTTACTACCGAGATTTTATGATTGTAATTATAATTTGATATATTAATTTGCATCGCAATCATTCATCGAATCTTATGGTCCTAAGGAATTCGAGCGTCCGCAGCCTGATAAATATTTCGGTCAACGAATACATGCGTGGGTGGTTATTTTACCAAACGATAAAGATGTGAGAAATCAAGAAATTATTGAACCGATCTTCCTTGAACCTTCTTCCGGAATGTTTTACAACCCAGCCGATAAAGAAACTAATTTGTTGTATCTGGGAGTGGAGAGTATTTGGAATGATCAAAATTACTGGGTGAATATGCAGCCTCGCGAAAACGGTTGCGCGGAAATTAACTGGGATTTGAGCAAAATCGAATTCTGGGAGCATTTGCTTCCTGGTGAACCGCGAATCGTGCGAAAAGACACGGACGAAATCGAGGAAGACGTTGCCATGAAGCAAGAAAAGCATTTGGACATGCCGGCTTCGTACGTGAGTGAAATCCGAATTCACAGTTTAGGTACGTAGATATTTTTTAAGTCAATTTTCTTCTCGATAAAGGAGAAACTGATTAACTTCATAAAATACAAAGCAGAGAAAGTTGATGAACACTTAGAAATGTTTGTGAATTTACAATACCCTTACAATAAAAATGTGCAATAAATTTATAAATCATATAACGTTTTACTATGATTTCACAATACAGTAGAACCTCTTTATAGTCCATCTCTTTATAGTCACGACCTCTCACAAGGGAACGGTCGGAACTGTCCCTCACCGATTTTAATGCGCTTTGGATATGTTGTAAAGCATCAAAAAATATTCGACCCATATTTTTTTATAGCGGCTTATCTCAAGGTTTAGGGGGTGAAACACCCCCACGAAGAAAATAGATTTTTTCGTTTTCAGCGAATATCTTCGAAACTATGCCACGTATGAAAAAATGTTTTATACAAAAGTTTTACAGTATTTTATGCTCTATATAATAGTGTATTCATTTATTTTTTAAATCAAATTTTTTAATTAACCCCTACCCCCATTTATCAGGGTTGCAAAATTAAAAAACTTTTTAAGAACAAAAATTAAAGAGCATCGGACGCCGAATCCATTCATGTATAATAATGTTATGGTTCCACGATTCAATTTTTCAGAAAACGAGATGATGTGTACAAATGCCAATGGGACTCATAAATTACCACTAGGGGAAAGTGGGGGAACTGTGCGCAGCGGGTAATTGTGCGTATTCTGGTTTGGTACTTTTCCAATATATGAAAACATCACCGTGGCGAAATTTTTACGCAGGAAGTCGTCCTCTTAAGATATAACTACAAAAGATACGACGTACATACCAGGGGTTGCAAACTCCTATTGTTCTCGATGTACCACGGTTTGCAGCGCCCTTACTGAGTGACAGGTCTCACGGACAGAACTAAACTTCGTAGTGTGAGTGATCCGCCATATTAAAACTGTATGAAGTAACAAAGAGTACGATACGAGGTTATCAATGTGACTGGTTATCAATGTGTCTGGTTATCAATGTGACTGATTATCAATGTGACTATTTTATATGTTCAAACACATCACACATGCACGCACACATATATCGACGCAATACATATATTGATATACATGTACTTGTATATAATTTTTGTAATAAAGTGTGGTTTAAGAATGAAACAATATGTTATAATTTTTTTTTAGGTAATAATCGCAAAAAAATGTGTAAATATTTAATATATAAAGATTATAAAGCATGCATGTTCCGTATGTACAGACGTTCATCTATCTCACTCGCACAGTCGCTCTCTCACTCACTCGCACAGTCGCTCTCTCACTTACTCGCTTACACTAGAAAGGTTAGTTCTCATCCATGAGCCCTGTCACTAAGTGAGGGCGCTGCAAACCGTGATACCTCGAGAACAATAGGAGTTTGTAACCCCTGGTACATACATCACTAGCCAGAGAAATACAAAAAAGTGAAATTACATCTTTTCTTGTTATTTTAGTATTCAGAAAATAAGGTAGTAAGTCCGTATTTTTAATTTGTTTGTTTAAAATTGTATATGTTATTAAAGTACGTTATTATGTGCATCTTTTGAGCTGTTATTTATTAAGTTTGGTTAGGAATT